GTATAAGCGTGGAATCATGCTACTACCAGAAAGATAGCAAAAGGTATTGGGCCAAAAATGGATAATATATAATTCAATAAAACATTATATATAATAAGAAAAGGTTTTTTCATTTTCGCAAAAAAGAACGAAATTACTTCCCAAACAACCCAATATTTAATACCCGAGGTCCGTTCCCATTGCGGGAAGTGCCCCAGCAATCTTCCTGTCAAATCTTGGGCATCCTGTACTATTCAGGTCAACGTCGGTCTTCCGTAGCATTGCGTGTACCGGGTGGACAAAGTTGTGACCGCGTATGGCCTGACCTTTCATTCCGCAAGACCCGGAGACGTAGAATTCTCGATTCTTCGGAAACAGGCTTGGGAATAATACGACGTGACAGCATATATAGATATGTTATACAACATATTTATAGTATTAATTAATTACATAGTGTTTAAAAATGTCGATGTATATGCCTTTTTGCTTTTGACTACAAAAAGTGCTTTTCAGATTACTGAACTCTCCAGCACAGTAAATTTCTTTCACAAAAGATACATTGAATTGCATAATAAGTTTGCTGTAGATAACGAGACGCACTTTAAAAAGCTTTACTGAAAATTGCTTATCATGCTAACTGAAATTAGCAAACATGTTATTTACCTGTTACAACGTTGATATATATGAAACCACCTTTTACCTACTTTTTGTAGCTTGAACTTTAAAAATTTCAGTTTAAGAAACAAATAGTACTTTCTAACAGGTTTCATAATTACATAGATATTTGCAGCTTAATGATAAATAAAATGTAATTGTATACAATTATTCGTTAATACAAATAAAAATTCAATTCTTATAAAACTGAAAGTTGCGAAATGAAACTGTTTAGTGATGCAAGATGAATTTTCTTATGGATCTTGAACCCCCCCCCCCCTTTGTACACTGTTGGCACCAACGTATTTATAATGTGCTACAGATTAACCCTTCTACAGTGATCATAAAAATTTACATTAGTGGCGTTCTCAATTCACATAAACCCATTAAAAAACTATTATATGAAAAGTTATAGTAATTAATATGAAAATACAAAAGAAAATAATTTATTTAAAGAATTCAAAAATTTGATTTTACTAAGGGGATAATTGGAAAAGTTATGTAGATCTACAGTGATAACTTTCATTAATATTCGCTCACTTTTTGAAACACAATAACTTTTAAAACTGGACTAGACGATTTTAATTTTTTTCTTAGATGATAGAGAAACTAATAGTATACTAGACAATGACTAAACTACTCTGTTACAATTTTACTATTATTTACAGTGACAAAACAAAATAAAAACTCGTTTTTTTTGTAGATCTGGGTAAGTTATATGCATGTTGAAAATTTCATCAAAATCATTTGACCTCGATTATGGTTGAAGTTTGCAAAAATTGCAATTTTGTCCCGATTTTTGACACTTTGAGCATGCATATAATTCTACAAAACGCATTTTCTACATTTTTATTATAGGCTCAGATAAAAAAGTTAAAAAAACGAGAATATTTTATTTTGTTAAAAAATTGTGACAAAGTAGTTTATTGTAGTAGTTTATTCATTGTCTAAAATACTAGATCCTCTGTCATCTAAAAAAATTCAAATCGTTTGGTTCAAAAAAAGTTAGTCAGTTTTAAAAAAAGTTATTGCGTTTTTAAAGTAAGCGAATATTAATGGGAGACACTGCACATATTCAGGGTTATACACATCCGAAATGCTGTAGAAAGGTTAAAGAAATCTAAGTAAATAAATTCAAAAACATTTTTAATTTTTTGATCTCATTATCAGACTATAATATCTGGTTATAGAAAGCTTTGGACTAATAGGTGAGGTTATGATAACATAACAAAATGCTTGAACTGCTACGGATTAAAGAAGTTACAGTAGAGTCTCGTTTATACTGTTTACAAACTTTACACTCTTTACACTTGAGTCTCCTTTACACTTCCTATAGCCACTATGAAATTCTTAAAGAGCTTCACATCCCGAATAAGAATCCGAAAACCGAATTGCTCCATCACCCTCATTTCCCGAAATAAACGAGCTTTTGTAAAAATCCAGAATTTACGACAAAAATGAGGTGTTGTATGAAAAGTAAAAACGTTAGAAAGTTCTAATCGCTCTTAGAAGATAGAGAAGAGTTTTCCGCATATAGTGGCATACAATTTATTAATGATTTTGGTCCTAAATAACTATAAATTAATGTCAGTTTAAAAATGTGCCGATGTGCGTAGTTTCTCCGCAATATTCTTGTATTTTTACAAGAAGTTCTTTCTCCAGCACGAAAACTCTACCCACGATCGGATTCTGCAGACATTTCTGAAGAAGAAATGGCCCGATAGAAGTGTCGGAATAATATACATTTCGAGCAAGCCAAGAAAATATTTGTCTGCAACGCGTGTACGATGTTTTACAGCCATGAGCTCCGCTGCTTGTTTCTCTCGGCTCGGCATGGCCGAACTATGCGTAATCAACACTGATGGAGAGATCCAATGGGACACCCACTTTGTGTAAATAATATTTGAATTTCTTTCAGACGCATTAACAAATTAAGATTACAAATTACATTAATACGTGTCTTATATATGATTGTCCAGTCCCAAAAAGTGAATTCAGTCAGCCATATAGGATGTTCCACAATTATTTTAACAGCCGGAAATGAGGGGTAGCTGAGGTCATTTCAACTAACTTTTTCCTTCGCGAAAATGCAATCCACGGCTTCGTTTACGAGTTATTAACGAGAAACACTGACCAATGAGAGCCGAGCATGCAAATTACAACGTGGTCAATCGATCGAGTGCAACGTGCTTCGATCATGGAGCATGACAGAAGAAGGGGGGGGGCACCGTGCTGCGTTCGAATCAATAAACAAGTCACGGAGCGTGAACTTCCGAATTTTTTTTACTACGTGACAGTGATAATTTTAAGAAAAACGCTATTCATCCTTATTTCAGAATATCTGAAGAATATTTACTAATTTTTCGAACCCGAAATAATAAATAGTTTAACCTTGACAGCTGTTTAAATTTTCTTAAGTGCATGACACTTCACGTGACGATTCGCAAGACTAATTTAATAATAAATAATCGTGTTAAAGAGCTCCGTCATGCCCCGCAGAATCCGCAACGAAGTAGGTAGCCACGATCCCAAAGAACCATGGCAATAGAAGATTTTAATGATTTTATCCCTTTTCGACCCTTTTCAGAGCCACTTTATTTGAACACAGAATCAAACAATTCGAAACCCTCCCCTTCCACGATAGGATACCTCTACGATTTTGGNGCATTAACAAATTAAGATTACAAATTACATTAATACGTGTCTTATATATGATTGTCCAGTCCCAAAAAGTGAATTCAGTCAGCCATATAGGATGTTCCACAATTATTTTAACAGCCGGAAATGAGGGGTAGCTGAGGTCATTTCAACTAACTTTTTCCTTCGCGAAAATGCAATCCACGGCTTCGTTTACGAGTTATTAACGAGAAACACTGACCAATGAGAGCCGAGCATGCAAATTACAACGTGGTCAATCGATCGAGTGCAACGTGCTTCGATCATGGAGCATGACAGAAGAAGGGGGGGGGCACCGTGCTGCGTTCGAATCAATAAACAAGTCACGGAGCGTGAACTTCCGAATTTTTTTTACTACGTGACAGTGATAATTTTAAGAAAAACGCTATTCATCCTTATTTCAGAATATCTGAAGAATATTTACTAATTTTTCGAACCCGAAATAATAAATAGTTTAACCTTGACAGCTGTTTAAATTTTCTTAAGTGCATGACACTTCACGTGACGATTCGCAAGACTAATTTAATAATAAATAATCGTGTTAAAGAGCTCCGTCATGCCCCGCAGAATCCGCAACGAAGTAGGTAGCCACGATCCCAAAGAACCATGGCAATAGAAGATTTTAATGATTTTATCCCTTTTCGACCCTTTTCAGAGCCACTTTATTTGAACACAGAATCAAACAATTCGAAACCCTCCCCTTCCACGATAGGATACCTCTACGATTTTGGATTATCCGTGTTTTGGATTATCAGTGATTAATTAACCGGTCAGTGTTTGTTGACAATGCAATGGAAGTGAACTTTGTGTTAGCCATACCTGAGGTCCCTCCAACAGTACCCCTTGAACCCTGCGGTCGTCGGCCTGGGATCAGCTGTACATTGTACGAGGTTAGTGCACCGACATCGTGAACCACAATTTCGAACAGCAAACGTATCCTCAACTAAATGGGTGAATTTACTGTTAATGATAATCTTTACGATTCTTAGACAAATACATCCAGCATGATCTTTAACGCAATTATTTATTATTAAATTAGCTTTGCGAATCGAGACGTGTAGTGTCATACACTTAAGAAAATTTAAACGACTGTCACGGTTAAACTACTCATTATTTCGGGTCCGAAAAACTAGTAAACATTCTTCAGACATTCTGAAATAAGGATGAACAGCGTTTTTCTTAAAATTATCAATGTCACGTGGTAAAAAAAAATCGAGAAGTACACGCTCTGTGACTCGCGGCATGGAGCCCCCCTTCTTCTGTCAAGCACCGCGGTCGAAGCACGTTGCGCACGAGTGATCGACTACGTTATAGTTCGCCCACTCGCCTCTTATTGGTCAATGTTTTTCGTTAATAACTAGCAAACAAAGCCGCAAATTGAATTTTCGCAAAAGAAAAAGTTACTTCAAATGACCTCAACTATCCTCCATTTCCATATTGCAAGACATTTTTGGGACATCCTGTATTATGTCTTACTGTATATTATTATTATAACAGCTACGACAAAATCAGCTAAAGTAATACAAGTGCAGTGAACTTCTGTTGTTCTCCAGCAAATGTCAGCAAATGATGATATAAATAATCCCATGTTGTTTGTTGTTAGTTCAGTTTAAACGAATATTACGTGGAGTGTTTCCCTTACGACTATACATATATGAATAAGTATAATAAATATATAGTAAATTACATACGCATTCCAATAGTTTCAATACATTCGGGCAGTAAGTCCTATAAAGTTCTTCAATTTTAGCACCACAATTTACACAGTGGTACATTTATAATGCTTGATATTTTTCTGGATTGACACTGCAAACACACTGTAGATGTCTATAATGTAAATAGTCAAACGTCACCTGCAATGAGATATATAATAGTATAATAAGACATTGTATATATAGATTGTCCCAAAATTATCGTATTTCCGGGAAATGGGGGGATTTCTAAGATCATTTGAAGTAACTTTTTTCTTAGCGAAAATGCAATCCGTGCCTTTGTTTACAAGACATTAACGAAAAACAGTGACCAATGAAAGGCGAGCGCGCAAGCTGCATGTGTCTTTGGCGGAGGGGCGCGACAGATTCTGGCCGCGTTCGAAGTAATGAACAAATCACGAAGTTTGAACTTTTTTTCACCAAATTTTTTTTAAAATTTCACGCTGTTCACCCTTGTTTGGATGATATCCTCACCCTCGATTTGAATCAGCACTAATGGATAAGCGGAGCGGAAGGGTTTAAAACCTAACAAAAAAGGAAAGGGTGGTACTCAGTTTACAAATTAGTACACGATTAAACAGTGTAACAAGTCGGGCAGGTTGCCCTTACGTTTGTTAACAATAACGACAACAGAGACCGCTGAGTCTTACAATTTCCTCGTTTAAATTTGTACGGACAAAACGAGATCGTATTTCGTCGCTCGACGAAATGTCGAATTGATATTTTGTTTCAAACACAAAAATGATATTTTTGTTTCAATAATTTCGTATCCAAACAGTTATATTCACGTTGAAGAACATCAATAAATATGTTTGTTTGAGAATTGCAAAGAATATCATTAAGAGTAAACTTACCCATTTAGTTGAGGATACATTTGTTGCTTGAAAATGTGGGTTACGATTCACGATGTCGGTGCACTGACCTAGCATAATGTTCAGTTGATCCCAGTTCGATGGCCATACCGAAGAACAAGCATCTCAGTCGCACAAGCAGTGGGATCTTTCGGTCGGCGCTTTCGGACATTCCTTCGATTTGTGTTCTTTTTCATTACACGCACGCGCTTCGTCTCGCTCGTGCCAAGCGACAAGAAACACTCGTTCGGACGACATATTTCAATAATTCCATTGTAATTTTTGTTTGCTCGTTGTGAGCACATTTCAGTCGATGCATTCCAACAAGTATTTTGTGAGCACATTTCGGTTGGCGCATTCCGACAAGTATTTTGTGAGCATCTTTCGGTCGGCGTATTCCAACAATCGGCTCAATTCATTGTTAATAAACGTATGGGCATCCTGCCCGACTTGTTATACTGTTTAACCGCGTACTAATCTGTAAACTGTGATCCAACCTTTTCTTTTTGGTTCGGTTTTAAATCCTTCCACTCCATTTATCCACTCGTGCGGGTTCAAATAGAGTGGGTCGATCCTAACAATAGCATTTATCTTAAAAATATCACTGTCACGGAGTGAAAAAAATTTGGAAAGTTCTTTACTTCGAATGCTGGAAATACGATAATTTTAGGAAACTATGTATATATTACTTTATGTATTAGCACAGGTCAATAGAAAATGTTTTTATAAATGACTATATAAACGACATTTTTTGATCAAATCTGTAAGTTGATACTCCTTTTAAGGAATTAAAAACTTGACCAATCAGTAGGATATCTGCCTAAACCAATATAGTAGTAAAAAATTAATTTCACTTGCTTTTCAGATTTTTAAAGGGGGTGTACATTTTTTGGTTCTATGAATAAAATTTATAAAATCTTCTGGTATGCTTTTGGTAGAAAGCAAGTAGTCAAATTCGATACTGTACTTTCCGATTACATCCCTGTTAAATCAAGAATACCACAAAGATCTCATCTCGAATCTTTATTATTTAAGCTATTTATCAATGACGTTCACACATGTTTCCATCTTTGTTTATTTCTTCTCTTCGCTAATGACTTGAAACGTCGTACTAAGACCACTACCAGACAGCTACTACCACAATACGAAACCGATTCGGTTTATGAGACTAGCTATCTGACAGTGACTCTAGTACGACTCAAGCTAAATACAGTTCGGCAAGACGCGAGGAAGGGAAAGGAGCCTAGCCGTTCCCGCATATACGAGGCTATAGCAACTGTCAAGAGTTTTAATCTCAGATGGACATGCGACTTTAAAGGTTCATTTCCACTGGCTTAGCTTTTGTCAATTGAGCATGTTATACAGCTTTATCGACACAATGATGATTTGGGTTTTGGCTTGGGTCGGTACTGAACGGTACGAAAAGTCAAACGTCGATATTCTTCAATCGAGCTATTGGCTTCATCGTGCCTCCTCTCGCGTTATGAGAAGTCCCGTACAAGTAAACTTTCCATGTTGTCCTTATCCATATCTGACAACCATACTCGTACAAAAGGACACTTTGATCAAAACGATTCGGCATCGTCTATGTATAACACAGCCTGGACAAATTTTATTTCAAATAAAAATAAAATAATAACTATTTTAAATCATTTACTTCATACCGTTATTTTCAGCATCGTTATTCGAAAATAAAAATAATATATTATAGGCGGTGTTGCGCACGGCACAAAATTAAAAACGCCGGAATTCGGGAGGAGACGACACGCGATTTATTTGTATTCGGACTCCACAGTCCTTTGTGTACAAGCTTTGGAGCACGGCTCCGTTTGTCGAATTACGTGTAGCACGGCTACGAAAGAAGTATAACGTGAAGCACGGCTTCGTATAGGCGCAAGGGGCGCTAAATTAAACTGTCTGTTAACGATACTTGGAGAATCTCGCCGTTATCACATTTGCGGCAGTATATATAGACACCTGGCCGATGCTCAAGGTGACGCATCGTCAGGTGTCGAAGGCCGGTCATTGCCTCCTAAGGCAAAAACGCTATATGTATACATTCGGCCGAGGCGAGCGTTTGACGGTCGGGCCAACGCACGTCGATCGTGTTATTGTGTCGCCGCCTCGCCGTTTATTCGACAAAAACGGCGAGACGGCGTACATCGAAAGTCGAACGTGCGTTGACCCGCGGTCCGCGATTCGGCCGGAACA